CCTGGGATAAAGGTCTTCAGACACAAGTATAGATATCTTCTCCAGACTATCCTTGACTCATAATATCAAATAAGTTTCTATGTTTTCTATATACTGTTTGATAGATGAGCCTCTGCTATTTTGTGTATCTGCTTAAAAAGAAAGTCACTAAGTTAAAATGCATATCACTGGAATTTAAAGAGCCATCTCTCCTCCTAAATGAGTTACTATTTCTAATCACTTATCTTTGCTTGCAAGTTCCATAAGATAAATGTTCTTATCCTGTTCTCCCAGACGCTTATTTTTCTTCCCTTTGCAAAGAACTGTTGTCATAATTTCAATCATTTTTCTGTTTTGTAAGGTGGGATTTTTATAGTGTGGTAAGAATATTAAAGCCACTACTCAAAGTGAAAGAGCTAATGGAAAATCTCACTTGCAGCTGTGGAGGAAGCGAATCATGTCTGAACTTGAATATTTTAATTTGTAAGTCATAACCCAGTATTGCACGCCTCTGTGCATTGCATGCAATTTCAGTAGGGAGAGGCAATGATTGTTATAGACAAATCATTCAGGAAGTAATAAAGTACCTACCTAACAACTAGGCAGGGAAATGATATACTTTATTCAGAAAATGTAGAGTCTTACTGGAAGAAATCATAATGTTTTCCTTAGACTACAAGGAATTTGGGGCCAAGATTGTTTTTACTTTAAGACACTGTGTTGTTCCTAGAACAGTGGAGACTTGGATGATCCCTCTGGACACTGCTGTAATTTAACTGTTTCCTCATCCTCACACTCCTGCACTTGGGTCTTTGTACTTGTTCGTGTATCTCATACTCAGCTGCACTTTTCCTCTCCCTTTCTTGTATTTTCCCATGTCTTTCAAACTAGAAGAGGTTCTCTGCTCAAACATATTCTACATTCACTTTGAAGGGAAAAGCTAAGTTATTTTTTTTCCCCTCAGGTTAATAAATTTAAGGCTTTGATTCTCTGGTTACAGAAAGACAGTTGAGGCTTTGGTTTCTAGTACCTGCCTGAGCAAAACTTAGTAGTGACTAACAATGTCACCAGCGCTTCACCACATCATTTACTGTACAGCTAGCAATAATTAATAAGTGCATTAGCTCTGGGTCATGTATAAAATACTGATTACTTATGTTTATTTAGACTTATTTTATTTTCCATGATTTTCAATATTTTTTTTTCCTGTGGCTTTGGTGTCTGCCATACAGCCACCCTCAAATCCATTCATAATGAAGCTGCCAGGGTTGTCTACAGATCTCATTGTTCCAATAATGTCATTCCTCTGTGGGCTCTACTCCATGCCCCCCACCTTCACTACACTCAAACTTTCCCACCCCCATATCACCATCTGTTGTTGCCCTAAGATACTTCTTATCAGATATACCAGCTTAGTAAGTTATATAATTTCTGCTCATGGCCCACCTAGGTAAAGCCCCTCCAGCCCTGTTGGGTGCGGGATTCTGCTGCCCTGCTGGGTGCGGGCCCCGTGCTCTCACTGGCCCTGGCCCCATGCTGTCACTTAGCTGCAGTTTCCCCTGCTTCCCTACCTGCAGCCCAGAGTGCTGCAGCAAAGACAGAAGGAGGAATTTTGAAATTGTGTTGCCAATATCTGAAGTAACATTTAGTTTGGGTTTTCTAAGAAGAAAATGATAAACAACGCTCTTTCCTCCTTGTCCCCTCTCCTGACAGGTAGCTATGAAAGATCTGGGTCAAATTATAGCTGCAAATTTCTCCTTCTACGGTAGCAGACATCACATCTCACCAGGCAAGCAAGTCAGTATGTCACCGAGCACATTTCCATGGAAGCCTTCCAGGCTCTGTTAAGTTCCTTAGTCTAAGAACAGACATTCAAAAAGCCCAAGGTGGAATAAATCTAAATTGTGCAGTTTTCTGTACAGTTTCTATACAATTACGAGTTAAGATCAATTTCCAATCACTTAGGCTGATTTGAGTGTAATGTGTAACCTGGCCTTAGAATTCAACATGCTTGCAAGGAACATTTCACTCTCACTGAACTAGCATTTCTGACTAGGTGAGATCAGCAGCAAACAGTATACATCTGTGTCCTTTAGTAGAAGGGCATGCAGGCTGCCTATGCTGGCTGAGGCCTACAAGTTGGGGGTACCCCTGCACATCTCCCAGCATGCCCTGCGGACTCCTTGGGCTGCTGGAGACTGTTGAATGCAGCTGAGCACCTGAGCTACCTTCGATTGGCTGCCAGGCATGGGAAAGCACACCCCGACACTCCCTACTGCTCTAATACTCTAGTACTCCAGGAACTGGTAGCTGCAGACCAAAAGAGTCTTACAGTACCCCAGATGCCCATGGCTGGTGTACCTGCCAGTAGTGGGCAAGCTGTAGATGTCACAGGGATGCCTCTGTGGAGGGCCAGTCCCAATGCTGTACCCCCTGTCATCCTGAACCACCTGATATGCCTGCACAGGCTCCTGCTGGAGGTGGGGTGGGGAGGGAAATCCATGTTTGGGTCCAGGTGGGAGGGCTCCTGTCTGTGCCCTTTAAGATGTGGTGTACAGGAGCAGGAGTCAGGCTCCATGGGGATGTGCCCGAGCACAGGGGCATGGGGATCCCTGGATAGGAGCCATGGTTGGGCTTTGTGGGGCTGTGCCTTAGCACAGAGGTTCTTCTGGGCTCAGTGTCAGGTGTGTGGGTTCATATTGTATAGTACTTTGGGATGTGTTTTGGGGGCATGATCCAGGGACATGGATGCCCAGGTCCCAGGGCTTGTGCAGGGAAAAGACACCTGCCTTCTTCCCCCCACCGCTTGCCTGTGGCTGACAGATGGCTGGAGGCAGGAGGAAGGGCTGGGGATATACGATCTGTGCTGGCTCACCTCTGGGAGAGTTTGGGGGCAGCGCCCACTGGGAGCTTGGTCAGACCAGCTGAGGAGACTGGGATGCTGGAGGATAGCTATCTAACTTAAATCAATAGGGTATCTGGTACAGAAGTTTGATTCACCAGTCTACCCTAAATTGGTTAGATTTGAGTGCACATTGAACCAAGCCCATCTTAGGCCTGGTTCTGCCATTCTTAGACTGGTCTACGTGAACCAAGCTTTTTTACAATTACAGGTTTAGATAGATTTCCAATCACTTAGACTGATTTGTGTGTAACATTTAACCTGGCCTTTGAAATGTTCCTTGCAAGCATGCTGAATTCATTTGTCCTATTACTGCTTTTGGCCAAACCACTTACACTTCCCTCATTGATTCAACACAAGGATACCTCTCTCATTTATGATCAAGATGCTAAACTCTGTTCCTTACTGTATCACTCTGTGTAACAGTTACAACCACAAATTCTAAATTGTGGTAGCTATCAGGGAGGCAAGAATTTCACATAAAAAAGGACTGTTACTGGTGGTAATTTTCTTCTTAATAAATCAGGAGGCATATTTGTGTTTGCATTAGAAGACAAGAGACCAAAAAAATCCACTCTCAAAAGTTTCTCTGAAAGCATAAGGCAAGAGGGCTATACCCTAGCATGTCAATTTTTGAAAGATTTTAGAATTTGAACAGAAAGCTTTATTCACAGTATCACATCTTCAGGCATAAGCAGATCTGCAGATTTTTTGTGCACTTCCAATTTGACAATAACCCTCTTCATGTTACCCAGCTTTCATACATTGCAGAAGTAGCAGCATTTTATGACATTCATAGAATATGCCACTGATCTGTTCTCTGATTGTGGCAGATAAAGGTTATATCATGATATTTATACAATCTGAACAAGATATACTAAGGTTTTGTATCAGTCAAGACAGCATGTTCCTCATTTAATTAGCATGCAGGGAACATGCTTAGATTTATACCTCAGGTATATGGGTGTCATAGGGGATTACTATTTATAGGTCACACTTGGCCAAGACAGTTTCCATACCAATATGTTTTGCCTGCAGCTAATGTTATAGAACAATAATACTAATATTATTACTCATGGCGACCTTTAGAGTTCTTTGAAATGTAGTAGTAATTTTTCAGAAAAATAAAACATAGCTCTCCTTACAAATACATGGCTATTCCTGTAATTTTTAGATGACTTTCCAAAAACAAAAATCCACTTGTTCTAGAAACAAAAGCACAAGACAATATCAAATAATATTTCTGGATGCAAACTGTCATATTTCATCTCTAATTTAGCTGACAAATCTGAAGCACAGACAAAACTAGAAGAATCTCTAGCAACTGCACACATCGATTCTGAAGTTGTCTCATTTAAAGCTATGTTTTTTCCCTCATAAACCAGTATAGCTTGCAAATTTCACCCACTTTTGATAAGGTCATGCACATATTTTTGGAAAGCTATGCCAATGAGAATATGTACAAACGTGGATTTAGAGGTCTAGCTTTTTGGCAGGACAGAATCACATAAATGACGCAAAAATTTGATATAGGTGTAATCTACCTGATTATTAAGTGGTCAGATTTACAAGGTTGCCTTTATAAGGTCTTAAGTCATAGGGGCTCATCAGCAAAAGAAAGCCTTTGTTGTTACTGAAATCAATAACTCGAGGTGGGTGAAGAAGTGGGTCTTGGTATCTCTCACCAGGTCCCATCTCAATCAGCTTGGGTTCTGACTCCTTGGAAGTTTACCCTTTACTATATTAACCTCTTTTTAAAAAATTCCTATTCCCCTGAGGAGTTTTATATTTTTGTATTCCTTCTTAAAAACAAACAGCTAGTTTCTTCATTAGGCTGAGAATAGTATTTGGGAGCTTACATTAAGGAGGAGAAAGCTATGAAAGGGCAATTCCCTGCTTTTACTAAAAGCTGATTGAGAATTTCCTCTCTATGCTTTGGGGAGAAGAGTGCTACTCCATCCATCTGCCCCAACAAAACCTTCTCCCTGTGATAGTACTACTTTAGCACTTAATAGTCAAAACCTCAGTTTCCCCTCTCCTGGCTTCAGGAACTTCCACTCTTGGATAAGCAGATAATGGTACTTCTATATGATTTTACCCTCTAACCAAAAACGCTTACCTCTTTTCCAGGGGTAAATGAGTAGTCCAACAAAACAAGCAGCAACATGGCAAGCTAAGGCTGGGTTTTCAGTCCAACTCAATTCTCAAGAGCTTTGCACCTTAAAAACGTTCACGTCTCCTTCTCCAGTGAGTCCGTAGAAGGATAATCTTGTTTCAATTCTGGAACCCAGTTCATGAGTTCTGTAGCAGGATAAGGTTCATGTAGTCAAACCCTTTGCTCAATCTATTCCTAATTAAGCTTGTCTCTATGTCTTTTCTACAGCTGCTTCCCTCAGTTCTTATCCCCTAACCAAGGAAGCCAACCTATGCTCTGGTCTCACTTCCCTGAACAAAACTTCAACTCCCAGCACCTGGGGAGGCAATTAAGCAAGCACAGGTGGGGCTGAGCCCTAATCCCTTCCTGGGCCAGTCCACTGTCACAGCCTGCCCCCTCTTGCTTCCATGTAGTGCAGTTATTATTTACAGCACCAGCTCCCTCGCTGCCTATGGCTGCCATAATTCTCTAGATTGAATACTAGCTCTGAACCTTGAAAAAAGGCAGTAGCAATGATAGCTGCTGTAAATGGAGGAATAGATACTGTGGACAGCGTCTAAATACTATTTTCAAAATTCTACTTCTACCCATGCCAACAGAAAGTAATGTTGTCAGGCAACTTAATTATTCGTATGCTTTGCCAACTGGTAAGGGTAGGTTAGGAGACTTTGTGCCTGGGTTAAGATTTTTTTCATGACTATTTTGCAGTGGTATCCCAATACACAGCATCTTCTTTAAGCATGACATTTTTTCTGTATCAATTCACCATGAATCATATATGTGAAAAATATCTGTTTCTAAAAATCAGCCTAGTAATAGCAACAAATTACTTTTAAAACAATATGGACTAAGTTTTTGTATAAGTCAAGAGCACAAGTCCTTCATTTAATTACCATGCAGGGAACATGCTTAGATTTATACCTTAAAATACCTCAGGTAGATGGGTGTCATAGGGGATTGCTATTCACAGGTCATACTTGGCCAGGACAGTTTCCATACCAATGTGCTTTGCCTGCAATAAATGGTATAGAACAATAATACTAATATTGTTTCTCATGGCCACATTTAAAGATGTCTGAAATATAGGAGTAATTGTTTCAAGAAAAAATAATATTGTTTTCCTTTCACATACAGCATGCAGGGGACATGCTTAGATGTATGCTTTAGTCTAGGCAAGGTAGTCTAGGTAAGCATCAAGTCAAGGCAATTTTCTTCAAACACCAAGGTATATTGAGCCAGATTAGAAGTGTTAGCATATAAAATCCCTGTCATTTGCCCTTCCTGGCATCTTTCACAATAGAAAGTGAGCAATTTCTGTGGCCATGCCTTACAAGCTCATCCCTCTACAAAGCAAGCAAAAATATGCTTTATATATATATATA